CCCTCCCTACCCACCAGCACAGTCTTCTTGTGCCAAATACAGCATAGTACTAGGGGGGACTTCTGTGACCAGCACACTAACTCAACGCTAGTCACCTGCTGTCACTGCAAAGACAGATTCTAAAGTCGACTTTAGCCAAGAAAACACCATGCAACAACTCAGCCCATATGAAGAAAATAGTCCAGTCTTGAGCGTCCTCTCCTCCTACACTATAAAACTCACTCAGTTTTCACCTGAACACAAATTGTCATCTATGAGCTCTTATACATGGGAAGTTTCAGCCTGAGCACAGCTTCAGGCCCACACCATTAAATTTCTATCTTAAGACCTTATACTTGTGTTCCACTACTTGCTTATCTCATTTGATCCTTTAAATTTTTTTTCTGTATAGTTGTTCTCTCATTATTTGCCTGCTTTTCTCTAAGGCTAAACGAGATCTTATGGAATCTCACCTGTAAAGGGACGTCAGTGGTCATACAAATGATTTTCCTTGGCTCTAATTAGTCAGTCAATTACGCTTCCAAAGTAATGTAAGGAGGGCAGAGATCTTAGCTTGATAACATACTAATCTATTCACTCCAGGAACATGCCATTAGGCAGGCAAGTCTGGTCCATCAGGGACAGCACTCTAAATCATTAACAAGGTGTCAAATAATTCCTTTCATAAATCTATCAAATTCCTTTTTTAAAACCTTCAAGAAGTGGTTTTCTGCATTGCCCTGACAGTTGAAAACTTTATTCTAATTTCTAAATTTTTCTCATTAACAGAGAGCATAGATCTTTCATTCATTTATCATCATCATTCATTGTCTTAACATGTTTTTTATCCTTCCATAGTGTTTACTGTCTTGATATGTGTGTGTGAATTGCACCCATCCCTGCTTATCCTTAATACTACTATTCCAAAGAAAGCCTATCCCATTAATCTCTGTTTGTAAAATAAGGATCTCCATTTTATTAGTTACTCTAGTAACCCTCCTTCCTATCTTTTCCAGTTTGAATTATCTTTCTGGATTAGGGGTGATCTGAAGAGCACACACTTTCATGTCAAGCAAGCCCTTTCCCTTCTGTATCTCCCAACAAAAGAAGAATCACAATGACTTTCCCAAAGTAGCATCCTTGGTGTCTGACTCCATTCTGGAGGGAGCATCATATGTGCATCCTCCATCTTATCAAGGACTTCTATTACTTCTTCATTTCCATTATGAAGCTTATTACAATCTTGTTGGGATCAGTAATGTTGAATGCATATCAGCTTTTCTCTTTCTCCTTTTCTGCATTATTACAGGCAAGAATCTCAACTGGGTTTTCATTTCTTACCTCAGTAAACATGAAAAAAGTACTACTGATTCCCTCTTTTTTAATCCCACCTCCTTTGTCAACTCAGTATGAGGACTTGTCCTTCTTTCTCTTCTGTGCAGTAGTCATAAAATGCAATGTCTTCACAGACCCAAAATCTTAAATGCTGCCAGATGTTCTGTTTCTGTTTTGCAGAGCACACTAGTAAGTGTGCTCTCACTTGACCAACCACTGCCAGTAGGCTGCTCTTTCAGACCTCTAGCAGTGCGCCAGAGCAAAAAGATCACATCTTAGCTATCCTTTTCCAAGTCTTCATTCTTTCACCTCTCATCTTGTCTTCCAAATCCCTTGCTCACATCTATAAAGGAAGGTCACAGTCCAATTTGACAAATGTACACACAACAACACGGAACAATTCACCCAAAATATTGTGATGCACATATAAAGGCACTTATGCTTTTCAGGTCTCAATCTGCACTTTAGGAGACGTGGAAAAGTTCCTGTACCACAGTGGTTGTTTTCAGCAGATTCTCTCCAGCACAGTCCAGCCATGGAGGACAGACTTTTTTCCCAGTATTTTCACTCCTGCTGTCTTCAACCACTTCCAAACCAACCATTATGGCATACATCAAAACCTTTCCGTTCAAAGTTCTGACAGATTTCTGGAGAAAGGTTGGGGGCTTATTCATTTAATAGACACCAGGGAAGACCAATTCCAGGTTTAAAAATCTCTGAGTAGCTTAAATGAAGTTATTTTTTCACTGCTTAATCCTTAAAGCCAAAATAGCGCTATTTTCTTAATAGCTTACCCCAGCTTGTTTTCTTTCACAAGCAGCAGCACTTTAAGTAGAGAGCCCACACTGTAATAATTTACTTGGGGAGAACAGATGGAATTGGAGAGGGTCAAGGCTGAGTTGCATGCTGTGGCTTTTTGTGTGCATTCATCTGTGCTACTTTTCCATTTTTGACAATGTAATTCTAAGACTATTGGTATTTTTTCAGACAGCAAATTATAAAGTTAAAAAGGTAACTGTGCTTAGCAAACAGATAGGTCACAAACTAAATTGTACTACACTGTGTTTTCTCATTTCAGTTAGAGGGTCAAATTTTTAGTACTTTTAAGGACTTTAGAGAGCAATTTGTGAGGAAAGTGGGGAGAAGATAATTTACACAATTTTGCCCATGACTCTGTTTTGAAAATTGTTTTCAGTTATATATACAAAGTTGTCTGAAGATTGCTCTTCTTCCATCAGCTGCCAGCAGCTTTGAGAAGCCACAGCACAGAAAGGGAAAGGAGAGGTACAGTGGGATCCCAGCCACAAAGGTAAATAATACAGTTCACCCAAAGATGATCCTACTTAATATTCTCCACTGGCTTTTCAGAAGGGCTGTATTAAATGGAACATAAGCATTTTGGTACAGGAAAAATTTAAAGCAAATTTCTTCTTCTATTCTTGCTTTCATTTCTAGATTAGCTGTAGAGATGAGGAAAGAAATATGTCTGCATAATGTTGCATGTCTCTCAAATACATATACAAACTGTGAAACTTTTTAAATGTATGTAAACCTGGTGCTCGTCTGTGAGGGTATCTGTCTATGTTATCCAGCATTTTGGAATAGGCTGCCCAGGGAAATGGTGGAGTGGAAATATTTCAATGACATGTAGATGTAGCATTTATACAAACACAGCGGACTTTGCAATGTTAGGATAATGATTTGACTCAATGGCTTTAAAAGTCCTTTCCAACCTAAAAGATTCTATGACTCTAAAAGAAATTCCAACCTAAAAGATTCTATGATTCTAAAAGAAAGAGGAGCACTAGCATAAGAACATGCTTTCTGATTGAAAAGATGTACTTGGTTGTTATAGTAACTTAACTTTTGCAAAGCTCACTTTGTGACAAAATAGAGGTCTTTTGCATTAGCAGAGGATCTTTTGAGAAAAGATGTAAAATTATATGTGCAAGATATATAATTTGAGAAGTTAAAAAAATCTTCCCTTTGTCTTTGTAATCAAATTAAAGCAGCAAATACTTTCTGAGTCAGTGACAAAAGCAATAAAGCACATAAATCCAAAAACTTTTTTAAGCTCCCCAGAGATACAAATGGAGGAGAACCTTTTTCTGGCTTCTCAGCAGCAGAGCTAGTTTAGCCGTTGGGGGTGTTGAAGTCTCACACACGTTCAGATTCAATATTCTGCCAAGTTCTCTATCATGTCGTTTTCTTAATAGGCAGGGCATGGGGGAGAGGATTGAACATTTTATCAAAAAAGACTCATAACAAGGTCTCTTTGGTTGACTTCCAAATGTCCTTTGTAAGGGATCACATGTTTCTTTCCCTACTTCATAAGTTCTTTCAGAAAAAGGGAGATTTAATACACCTAGGGAGACAGGAGCATGTGTGAAAGTCTTGTCAACTGCTGACAAAGTGTCTTGATGCAGACATTAATTTGTACAGTGTACTTGCTTTTGGGGGAAGATCAGTTTCACACATGTCCTGCTTATTTTTCTCTGTCCTTTGAAGGCTAATTCAACATGTATACTTGATTAATTTCATGATCCTATCCAATCTGCACAAAGTGCTCTGTTTGAGCATGTGTAATTAGCCATCTTTTCTTTGCTCTGTTCCTATAGCCTGAATGTAATGAGATACATAATGCTTCCTAATGTGCTAGAAATTTTTTAGGGTTTTTAACTGTCAGTTTGATTTGCTGTTACTGTATGTTCTTTTTATAAATTGATCCATTCTTTCTCTCTCAACACCCCAGAAATTAAACCTTTTAAAAAGCATTCTTTTCATCCACATCTAGCTAATATATAAAAAGTATATATAACACCACCTCAGAATACATATGCACAAACACACACGCACAACATATGTCTAATAAAAAATTTCCTCTCACTATGCTTCCCTGATTCCATATTTGGGTGTTAAATTCAAGCAAAATTCCCCAGACCAAACATTATTCTCCAACTCAGATTTGCATATGTACAATCAACAGAGTGGGCAGTCAACACTCAGTCTCCCACCTTATCCACAAAAGCGTGCTCTGTTTCTGGCACTAACGTCTCCGTTTTGCCATCAGTTGCACATGTGCAAACCAACAGACAATGAGTGTGCCTGTAGAGGCTAATGCATATTTCTCTCACAAGAGCTGCAGAAGCAAAGATCTCCAGTTTGGCAGAAGAAAGAACTCCATTTTGATTTACTCAGTAAATATGATGCACATATCCCGGTCTAGATTTTCACTGCATGTTGAACCTGAGATAAAAACCCTGACAGAATATTTTGGACATGAGCAACAAGTTTTCTACAGCCTGATTATGAGTAGGGACTAGAGTCCTCTTTTTCACAGCTTAGGAACAGTCTTTCCTGAAACATGACTTTCTTTAAACCTTTCAGAAAAAGAAAACGTCACAGGTATCACAATTATTGTGGCGACATAATGATTAAAGAATCTCCACAACAATCCTGAAGTTCATGCTATTAGGATCAAATAACAAGCCCTTCAGCAGCACAATGAGCACTTATGTAAATAAATGCCCAATTTATTTTTTCAACTCTTCTCTGACAAAAGCCTGTCCCTTCCACAGATCTACCTTCTCACAAAAACCAGAGAGATACAACTAGCTTTGACATGATTTGCACAAGACTCTGTAGCCCAAGACAACACCAGGAATAAGAAATGGGACCTCCTGATTCACAGTCTCTTATGGTCCAGTTCATAGATAATGTAAGTAAATATATTTTATATGTGTCTGGTAAGAAATACTGGTTCATGCATAAAGTTACTGTAACCTCCTGAAAAATGTTGTAACTTGTGGAAGGGGAAGTAAAGGCACTTGATGAAAGAGACTGTAAATAAATCTCCATTCCTCTGGAATAATGACTAAACAATCAGAAGATTGATTTTACAGTTTAATGTTTAATCAAAATGACTCATGCTCCAAAAAGTAAATTCTTTGTCTAATTTTTAATCAGCTCTAAGAAAGTTGAACCACCCTGTACATGCTCTCTTGCATTGCTTTTCTGCATTTACACCACAAATGCTCTGGCCTTCCTCAGGATTGAAAGAGGTGTTTTATCATGATCAAAGACTCCATATCTACAGCACTGACTACATCTATGCTGCCCAACAAGTGAAGGTTTTACTTCAGCTTAGCCACCCATAAGATTGTGAAAGGATATTGATTTATTCATATATTTCAGAGGGTGAGGATTAGCTGCCCAGGGGGACTAAATGCTGGACTGTTCCCCTATGAAAAATCCAGCAGTAAGTTTTCAAATACTTGTTTGCTTAAGAGAAATCCACATTTAAATACCTCTCATTTTGCTAGGAGAATTTATTTTCATGAGAACTGGGTGAAATTTCTCTCTATTTCTACTTTAAGCATAATAAACTTTTACAAGAAGGAGTTAATTTCAGTGAAAATTCTAGGATCAGTATGGACCAATGGATCATACATTCCTTCTCCAGGCACTGGGAATCTGCACATAGGTTATGCATATGCATAGCTGTGTATTAAGTAATGGGATCTTGTAACAGTACTTGGCTGTTCTGCTAATTCCTCATGATAAATAAACAATGTTTCTCTCACTGACACTGCTCAGAAAGTAGATAATGCAGAAAGGTGCTTTCAAGCAAGAAAAGAAAGAAGGAACTTGGAGGAGGGAACAAAAGAAAGACTATGCACCCTAAAGGAAACAACACTAATCATCACAAGTCACAAAAATATTTTGTGTGTAGCTACCTTCCCAACATACAAATTTGTTACTTAAATTACAATCACAGGCCAAACAGAGTATGGAGATATGAATTTAGGCAATGCCAATTGTTTCTGTTTGGTTTTGAAATTTATTTTTTAATCTGGTTTAACTTTTTATATATAGCATGTATCTGTCTTTGGTATCTCCTTTGTGCTTCACTATCTTTCTAGTCTGTTAAGCTGTCATTTATGCTCTCCAGTATCTGCCCCAGTTTTACACAGCTGCTTTTCTTGCATTCCTTTTTCTCATCCTGCCCCATGCTCCTTTTCCCATATAGTTTCCAAAACGCAATGCAAGATTTTATTTGAAAGAGGGCAAAATAATTTGCTCATCTCTATCACTGCCATGAGATTTTTGAGACAGCTGAAGGCAGTATTTCAGAAAATAACTTAGCTTCAGCTCAATCTTAACACGTTTTTGGCCAGTCTGCATAAATATCTCCAAGTGGAGATTATGTTTCACGTCCAGGTCTAAATATCCCCTCATGGTGTCTTGCCCCACCGAGGTAGTTGTGTGCAGGAGAAGAAGCAGTGCCCTCTGACACCTGAATCACTTGCTTGCACCACACTCTGCTTTCTCTTTTCTGGTGTAGCTCTCTGCAGAGAAGGAGCCCTTGTCAGCTCCCATTTCTACCAGATATTTTAGCTAAGCTTTAGACCTGAATGTTTTTCTTCCTTAATCTGATCCCACTCCACGGAAATGAGGTCTTTTGGATTTAAGCATGTTGGCTGTCTTACAGTTCCAGTCTGATTTGTGTGTGGCAGAAAATCTGCCTTCATGATTTGCTTAGCTATCCATTTGTTTTCCTCTCAGCTATAAATAAACAGTGCAAATGGTCTCTCTTTCTGAACTGTTCCTCTCTGTCCCATGCCAGGGACAGGAGGAAAGGGGTGTGGGGATGTAGAGAGAATCCATCCACAACATGAGACAGGACAACTGAGAAAACTAATACAGAGGATGGCATATTTTGGGGCAGTAGGTGTCTTCAGGAACAAGATAAGGACAAATGTTTTCTTTTGTCAATTCCTGCAAATGTGATTTCACTGTCAAAAGCGAGCTGTTCTCTTTGGCACATTAGGAACTGAAAAACAGTAGAAACACCAGTAGAGACTAAAGCACTCAGAAAAAGAGTTGAGGGGGGGAGAATATTAGCTCAGCTCTTTACTACATGATATGTCTTGAAGACAGACCAAAGAGGGGATTATTACAGCCATCTCAGAAGCGAAACCCATCCGTGATCTTCATGTGAGAAATACATTCCAAAGATATTTCAGAAGTACTGCAGAGACCACAACTCTTTTGTGACTGATTATGACTTCCCAGACATGAAGTGTTCTGCTACCAATCCATCAGAAACTAAACAAGCAAGCGTGAGGTGGTGAGGATTGCAAACAAATGTGTTTATGTAGCTGTATGCTGCACAGCAATGACTGACAAAGAGACTTTACAAAGTGAGGTCTCTATGATCTTGAATTGCACGGTCTGGGAACATGCAGCTCCTGGTGGTCTTATACTTATGGAAGTCAGGGGACAGGAACACAGCTCTTCTAGAGCATATATCTCCTAAAAGGATTTTTCAAAACTATTCTTCAAGGCTGGTTTGGATACCTCCTCTTTTTGTGTTACACCTCTGCTTGGGCACCTCCATTCCCTTAAAACCAAATTCCCAGCTGGTTCACACCTGTTTTAAAAAAAAAAATGCAAATTGGAAAACACAAGGGACAGTCAGAGTCTCATTGGCAAACTTGGGAAATGTTCCTTTCAGCACTGAAGAAAATAATCAGTCTGACCTGGAAGTTAGAAGCAGGAGTGATTAGGACATTGTCCAGTAGGAAAAGATACCTTCTACTTAGCTGGACATCACCAAACATATTTATTTTCACACACAAGATCAGCAAGCATTAAGCCAGTTTATCTAGTATCAAACAGTAGAGGCTCAAATGCTTAGCATACCTACTACATAATTCTCTCTGTCTGCTAATAACCAAGGGGCAATGAGCTGAAAAATCAATGACTATCATGTCAATTTAATGTATATCAATGTTGTGACACAGTTGTTTTGTAAGATGAGTTTCAGACACAAATAAAATAAATTTCCATGTTGAAGCTAGGGCAATTAGCTAATACTTGGGAAAATAACACTGAAGTTAGAGTCACTGTACATGTTGGGAAATAAAGGAGAGAGGACCCACCAGTAAGCCCTTTCAGTCTCCAGATTCTGCTGATTTCTGCTAACAAGAAAGAAAGGCTTTAGAATTATTATCATCATCCTTCATTCATAAAACCACTGCTGTAAGGGGTGTATATTACTCTAAAAAGCATGAGATCTTATAAAACTTGCCCATACTTACAACAAAACTTCCTACCAGAAATTGTATTGGTCCTTTCCTCCCTGTGGCATACCAATTTCTCAGGTCTATCAACTGCTCAGCCATTCAATAAGCCAAATAAATGTCTGCTTAGGTCCACTGATCTTTCTCATTTTTGAGTTAAGACAGATTTGAGGACTGAGTTAAGCTTGATTTCCCTGATGGATGATGTGATGTCCATGCCCCAAGACAAGTTTCAGAAAATTCTATATTTGGCTTAAGAGTCAGTATTACCCATATTGAAACATCAGCATTTCAAGCTGTGCAGCAAAATGAAATTTGTATGCATAAAGAACAAAAAAAAAAAAAAAAAAAAAAAAAAAAAAAAAAAAANAAAAAAAAAAAAAAAAAAAAAAAAAAAAAAAAAAAAAAAAAAAAAAAAAAAAAAAAAAAAAAAAAAAAAAAAAAAAAAAAAAAAAAAAAAATCACCCACTTCCTAAAATCTGTAAAATTAGGGAAAAAAGAGAATTCCTGTGGCTGCCTTGCTCATTTCTTGACTGACTGATATTTGTTGTTAAAAAGCAGTGCATGGAGGATTAGCCAGAGCAATTTCTTGATCAGACAGGCATCCCACGTTCAGTGCTGTTCTCCATTAATGGACTAGTGGACTATCAGAACATGAATAACAGGGCCACACACTTACTGATTGCTGTGTACAAAGCAAGACTGGCTGTCACACATTTAAAAGAGTAATGACCAGAAATAGGAGGAAATAAGCAACTTTATCCAGACTTTTTCAAGTTAAAGGGAACCAAGATATTAATCTCTTATTACACTATGTAAGCGAAGCAATGTTTACACAAAGAGATCATGCCCCAGGACATGAACTAGCTGCTGCTGAAATTTAGAAGAAAAGTTCTACTGAGAATCTCATCCTTAATTGACTGTGAAAATATTTATTGTACCTTTCACATAGACATCTGTCTCTGTGCACCCTGAGAGGACACTATAGTCTAACTATAGCAAATGTAAGCTACTGATAAACTATTTTCCTTTTTCTGAGTGATTCAGTGAGACCATAGCCTGAAAAGTTCAGAAGCATCTCTGTATGCTTTCTTGCCAAACCATGGATCTGATGGGTCAGTACCCACCTGTCTGTGCCCTGCTTTCTTTTTCTGACAGCTGAATCTTTTCTCATAACAACAAATCCTACAACAGACCACGCAGAAGTGCTTGGAGAGCCATGCTGACACTCAAAAACACCAGTCTGGTGTGACATTCATTTGTAGTTCCTAAGTCAATTCTAAAATATTCTGCTAAGTTTTTCAATTAAGGTCTGGAAAAAGAAGATGCCCTTGCTGAAGACCTAACCCACTCACAACATGAAGGACAGGGGTAATAAGGGGTGTTGAGTAATGTCCCCATAACAGACTTTAAAGCAGCTATGCCCACCTTCCATAGCAACTTATTTATCCACTGAAAATAAACAATGACACTTGCCTATACAAATTGTATGTGCTCTTCAGATAAGCAAAAGGTGTTTTATTTGTCAGGCCTATGGAAGCTGACAGTGGAAAACCTGTTCCTTCCTCCTACTTCCATTCCCTTGCCTTATCCTTCCTCCAGTAGGAGCCTCCTCAGAGCCAGTACTGTCTTA